GAATTTTGACAGAGTGGCTGTTTGGTCCTGCATCAATAGTTCTCCTCTCAATAAGTTTGTTCACTAATTATGTTTATTCTATCTTATCTAAGATATTTGCTAGATTTATAACAGAAAAGAACCAGTTCTCTTTGGCCTTTCTGTTTCCTTAATGTCTGTTTTCTGATTATAAATGTAATATTGTGTCTACTCTGTAAGTCGCTTTGGATAAAAGCGTCTGCCAAATGCAGAAACATAAACTACTACATAAAATACACCAGTGAGCTCAAACTGCCCCGAAAAGCTAAAAAAAAAGGATGATTTTGGTCGTTTTCTGGCAGGAATCCGTGGGAGTGGTCAGACCATGTCAGTCTCCACCGGCTCACAAAGAAATGAAAACAATGATTTTAGATAATAAAATACTAAAAATACTACACAATGTCCCTTTAAAATGGGAATTTTGACAGAGTGGCTGTTTGGTCCTACATCAATAGTTCTCCTCTCAGCCAGTTTGTTCACTTATGATGTTTATTCTATCTTATCTAAGATATCTCCCAGATTTATACCTGAAAATAACTCTTCTCTTTGGCCTTTCTGTTTCCCTAATGTCTGTTTGATGAATGAAAACTGCTCCTGTTCCTCAGAAGGAGCTCGTCCCTTTTCCTCTCCCTCCTCTCTTTCCCTCCTCTCTCTCCCTCCTCTCTTTCCCGGTGTCTGTGGGCGTGATTTGAGGCCCAAAGGGGAGATCCTTCCACATAGATCCGATCCAGCTGCACACGGAACAGAAACCCCCCCAAACCGTGAGCTAAAAACTGCCCCGAAAAGCTACAAAAAAGGGCGGATTTTGGTCGTTTTCTGGCAGGAATCGGTGGGATTTGCCTGACCTGGAGGTTAGGTGGACTCTGGTTTGTGTTCGGGTCTTTAAAGGGAGGTGGGGGGGGGGGGCTTTTAGAAACAGGGAGATGGCCACGGGAGAAATCACCACCCTGCCCTCAGCTCCTGAGGCCCCCGGGAGTTTTAAGGACCCGAAGAGGCTTTACTGTAAAAACGGGGGGTTCTTCCTCAGGTTGAGGCCCGACGGGGGAGTGGACGGGATCCGGGAGAAAAACGACCCCCACAGTAAGTCTCACAAAGCTGCTTTATTCCCCGTTCCCTTTCCAACGGGGAGCAGGGACCCAGAGGAGAGGCTAAAGGGAAAAAAACAGGCAGGACGGTGTACGTTTTTCCAGTTTACTGAGGTTTTATTCTCCATTTATTATCCCTAAAATGCCAAATGTGTCGTATTTGATTCGTACGGTTTCTGAAGTCTTTTGGATGTGAGACTTTCTGCATCATTCAG